AAGGAGAAATGAGAATTTATTCCAACGATAAATATTGTGAATGTAGATTGATTATTTTTTGTGGATTGGTGAATGGTTATAAATCTCCAATTGTGGAAGTTGACTTTGATCAAGACTCGTTTCATTGGTTTAATACAACTCGATAATTTACATTGTTATTTGTTATAAGACTGATTTCGTTATAAACAAAACCCTCCCCAATCGTTATACGAAGCATAAATTGTTGAATTGCATACTATTCATGGGATCGACCCTTACTTCCAATTCTACATTAGTTTTAGAGGTTTAAGAACTATTTTTGGGTGTCAACAATAACACATCATGTCCCCCTCTGTGGGTTTGGTAAATGGGCATGAGAACGCATGCCTTGAACAACTATACGGTCGCATATTTGTTCCTTCCAGCCTTTCCATACATTGCTTGAATCAAGTTGCTCCACTTCATTTCACCTTACATGCTGAACATGAAATTTATCCATTTGCTTGCCGTGATTAATATTTCATCCATCGTGACTTGAGCAAGTAGTCCCATTACTTTTTGGACCCGCTTCGCTCACGACCTAGGCATAGGCCCTTCTTCAACGATCAATGGATCGTTATCTGGCCTTGCCCTTGTATCATGGAAAACAATAACTATTGTGCCTAGTGTTTTAAAAGGTAGCAAAGTCAAGCCTCAAACCTTATAAACTAATAAACATAGGCGTGCCTAGGAGAAACCTAGAAGTAAAAATAAGGATGGAAATAGGGCGGGTCGGAGTTGGAGCGGCCTCCCTCGTCCCGTCCTGTACCCTCCATTCCCGTCTCATTACCAGTTTAAGGCAGGACAGGTTGCGGAGAGGGGCGCCCTGTTTTGTTTCTTTTTATAATTCATTTTATTTCCTACATTCTTTAAAGTGAGATAATAATATATTTTTTAATTAATTATTTATTTTTAAAAGTTAAATTATTCAAATATATTTGGTAAACTAAGTCTTTTGTTATTTGTAATTTTTTTAGATAATTTTAATTGTCATTTTTACTAGAACCAATGAAATTTCGTGAAATTTTTCATATAAAGTATTGAATTCACAAATAAAAATAAAAAAATTGGAGGGGGTGGGGTGGGGTGGGGTGGGGAACCCATTACTTGTACCCGCCCCATCCCCTACTCGAATACTCGATTAAGTGAGTAATTTCTGCCCCGTTCGGGGCGGGGTCCCGCGAATATCGAGTTTGTTGGATTTTTTTTTCTAAAAATGTATTTTCTTATTTTTTATATTATTTTAAAACTAATAAATAAAGTAATACATACTAAATAATTAAAATAGTAAAGACTATAATTTCTTAATCGTTTCCTACAACTAAATAATTTTCAAGTTTTCAAAAATTAGACAATTGAAAATTGAATCACGATCTTTTTGAGGTAAATGGTCAATAATTGTCCACGCTAATTTAGTGCCTAGATTCACATTTATCATTAGGTTAAAAAAAATGGCTCCAAAATATTGAAATAAAATAAAAATAAATAAAAAGTGCACATCTTTTGGCGCATAGACCGCATTAGAAGCTTGTTTGGGAGAGATTTTTAGGGGAAGAATTGATTTTGAATAGTGATATAATGGGAAATGTGTGGTTGAAAAAGAAGAAAAAGTTATTGATGTGATGGAAAATATTATTTTATTGAAAAATGTGTGGTTGAAAATGAGAATTGATTTACTGTAGAAAAATTTAATCTCTCCCAAACAGAGCCTATGTTTAATAGAGATGAACACATGTGAGACGCTTTGAAAATGCATGGTTGAACCTAGGTGGCACTTTTTCAAGCCTTTTAAAACACTACACCTACCACATGCGTTCTAGTCCTACTGCTTCCCTATCAACCCTCTAGGGATGGTAATAGGGTGTGACAACCCTTACCGTTTCGGCATTGTCAGGGATTTTGGAGAGTCCGGATTGGCTGGAGATTTAAAAAAGAAAAAAATCCTCATTTATCGTCTTGTAAATTTACTTATTTAATTTTAAATATTTTTTTAATGCGATTTAAATTGTATAACATAACATAAAATAATAATATTTAAGCACGCATTGACAACTAAATGAGAAGGGAATTCTCTGCCTCATTTAGGATGGGGTTACATGGGGCGAGATGAAGTCTAGTAATTTTGCCATCCATTTTACCCTCAAGTACTCTTGCACCTCAGAAAATTTTTGCCATCCCCTTAGAGACAAAAAAGGAGGAAAAAAAAAAAAAAAAGAGTAACAAGTGTGAAAATTAAATGAAAATGAAAAGAAAAGATGATTTGCGCAATCAAGTGTGTGATTAAGGATGAAAATGCCAAAAAGAAAAAAAAGTAGGGACGTTATGTGCTAATTATTTTAATAATTTATTTGGGGATTTATTTGTGCTTTTTAAAAAAAAATTGGGACTATGATTGCAATTAATTTTTTCTTTTAATTTAAAGAGAATGGCATATTTGTTATTCCAAAATTTTTAATTGAGAAAATAGATGAAGAAGACCTTTTGCGCAATGAAATGTGGAAATAAAGGTGAAAATGTCAAAAAATGAAAGTTAAAATTTTTTTCCACAATAATAATGAAAGCTGAGGACGTTATGTGCTATTTACCAAACAATTTATTTTGAGTTTTGGGGACTTATTTGGGAAGGTAGCATGATAAACCTCAAGTAAGCTACTTATAAGCCTAACCAAACATGATTAATCATTGTCATTTTGGTATGAAAAGGCAACTAGATACTGTTTTTCGACTTTTTCCCTCTTTCTTAATTAGCCATTTGTCTTTAGGAACTCAAATCATTACAATCATTTTCAGTTAACATTTTCATATAACAAGAATTAAACAAAGACTCAAATAGTCAATCAAACATAGGATAATGAGGCGAAATTTCCCTAACATTTCATAATCATATATGGAACTATTAGAGAGACAGACGACCTTATTTATTAATTACTTATTCAAAGTAAAGTGAGAATTACTGTCAAGATGAACATTCGTTACGTGAAAGAAAATAAACTCTTTTGAAAATGTTAATTTTACTTCGTTGTTAAGCATCCATACCACACATGCTATGAATTAATTTGCTTCTAGGGTAAATTGTAGTTGCCGGCACCAATTTTACACAATTTTTCACTTTTATTCCAAATGCATTTTTCAACTACAAATAGATCCTTAAACTTCAATTAATTGGAGACAACCGTCGAACAGTTTCAATTTGGAAATATTCTGCGTACATTATCACCACCTTCCCCAACGTTTGCACCTATTCTCTCTTTCGTCTCCAACTTTTCTTTCGACAAACGGACACTCATACTTTGATTAATTGGCGCCAATCGTCAATTTGGTCTGTTTCCATCTAAAAATTTCATTAAAGGGGGTTTGAAATAACATGATGGGACAATCCATAAACATAAATAAACAAGAAAAATATATATAAAAATTATCTTCTCTTGTTTATATAAGTTTAAGGGCAGTTTTATAATTTCAAAATCATATCTTTTGATTGGAAACCGTCATTAACACGAATTAACAGAAGTTTCAGGATCTGTTCGTCAAGAAAAGAAAAGATTGGCGGCAAGATTGCAAAAGGGCCAAAGGTTGAGGATGGTCGCTATAATTTACCCTCGTCTCTTTTAAAAAACAAAATATAAAAAAATTATGGAATTCCATTTTATGGAGAGTGCTAGAGGTGTCAATCCGGGTGGTCCGGGCCGGGTCGGCCCGCCAACATGTGAGCCCGGTAACGGCCCGCGTGAAAAAAAGCCCACCCGCTGCGGGTTCCGGGCCGGTTACGGGTCGGCCCACAATTTTGGACTACAAC